CGAGGGGCCGGGCGCTGCAGGGGGGCGCCCGCTGCCCAGATAGACCCGCGCGGTCCCGGGGGGAAAGCGGAGGCTTCGGTGCGCGCCTGGGGGGTGGCGGCGAGAGGAGGCGCGCGGAGATCCCGGCGTAGCAGCGGGCTGTCATGAAGGGCCCCGGTAACGCGTGCCCGCTTGTGCCGTAGGGGAAGTCCCTGCTTTGTCTCGTGGTTATGGTCTGTGCTGGACACCGGGTGAGTCTCAGGGGCTGTATGGTGGAGCAAATAAGAAAGAGAAGCTGTCAGGCTTTAATGCGCACAGTTCCAGCACAGCTTTGCTCCAGGGAAATGCTGCTGGTGCAGTTTTGCCACTGCATAACGCTCCTTACAGGCTGCTTGAGCACTGACCTTAGTAAGGTCAATGTGTGACCTCAGTGCTCTGAGGAAGAAAGCAAATGCCAGAGCTAGTTCTTGTGGGTTTGGTGATTGCTTGTGATTACTTACTTATTTAGCTAGTTTCAGACAGCTGCTGTGCTTGGTCCAGTCAGGCATCTTTCTTGTGGAGAGTCTCAGAGCTGACACTTGGGGTGATGTTCTCCCTGTTCATTTTATTTAGTAACTCCTGGGGAATTCACCTGCACATGGGTCTCTGCAGCATCCGGTAGCAACAAGTTTCATTAGACTCTGTGTGCCATACTGATATTTGTTTTAAACTTGCTGTCTGATCATGTCATCAAGATTTTTTCATTTCAAGTGCAAGATAGAGTGAATAATCCTCCATGTTAGCCTTCTCCAGAATGTCAGTGACTCTGCATGTTTTCACAATATGATTTTTCGTTTTTCCACTCCTGTCATCTCCCTTTATTGCACTTTTCCTGTATTGAAGCATCCTTTCCTTCTCTCTGTTGCTTGCTGCCTGCCCTGCCGGCTCCGCAGGGTAGAGGGCTCTGCAGGATGCAAGCGTGGGAGTGCTTACACAGTACCACGTTAATGGGTGCTTTCTTGTGTTCCTCTGTCTTGCCCACAAACTCATTGGTTAAAAAGACAAACCATTGTATCTTAATAGAGTGAATAGTCACTAATCCTGATGCCCACTTAGAGTCCCATCCACAGGGAACTCCAGAAAGTCTTGCCTAGTTCTCTACACTTGCATTACTGTGTTCTTACAATAGCTACTCACTGCGTGCCACTCTGCATTTACCACTGTTAAATTTCTCCTGCATGTCACTCACTCAAGATCATGAGTGTGTTTTTTTGTTTTGTTTTGTTTTTGTGAATCTTCAGTTTTGTCAGTAGTCTTGTGTCATCAGTGAATTGTGCCTCTGTGCATATCCCTTTTTATGGTTACTTACAATGTGTCAGGGAGCAAAAAATTAGCCCCTCTCTTCCAAGTGCTGTTGGTAAGATGCTGCTTTTAAGTTCAGCCTTTCTAGGGGGATGATATGTACCAGAATCTAGACAGCAACATTTAAACATTTTCAAAGAGCTTTCAAAAGTTCTTTGAAAACAGCCATTAAAGTTTGTAGCTGACTCATTTCAATTGTATCCAATAAATATGAATGCCTCCAAGTAAAACAAGCTCTATTTCTGTTTATAATCCCAAATTTCCCTTCATTTAAGGAACAGGTATCATCATCTGATTTTGGAAGTCTGCATTAGCTTTAGATACTTTTAAGCTGAATTCTTAGAGTTAAAATACTGTCCAATTACTTGGTTATATAAAGTCTGATGGAACACTGTAACTTCCTAACTGTAACTTCCTAAAATTCTTTTCTGTTCATAGCTGTGTTCTTAAGACATTTTAGCCATGACTAAGAGGGATGCAGAGGAGCTGATAGAAATAGAAATTGATGGAACTGAGAAACAAGAATGCACGGAAGAAAGGTATGTACTGTCTTTGTTTTGAGGGTCTTTATGTTGTAACCATTCGTTGTTTTGTCTTTTATTTTCCTAATTGATTTCAAATTTATGACTGTACACATGAAGTTCAGTTTTTCAGATTTATTTCTGCAGTATAGTGAAGAAATAAGTATAAGTGTTTTATAGGTAGGAGAAAATAACTCTATATTAGCGAAAGCAACTGGGTCAGTATTACGTCCACACTCCTGCCTTTGATTTTTATCTGTCAGGAAAGCTGAAAAAATGTGGAAACAACATTCTCAGTTTTGTGGGCCCTGTTCCACATTTCCTCCTTATCTAATTAAGTGATGCTTGTCTTGAAGTAGGGGTGTAGCCAGTATAGGGCAATATAGGACACTGCCTTCATCTTAATTGCTTGAATCCCCAACCACTTGATTTGTTACCTTCTTTATAGCTCTCTTTCCCCTACTTTTAATTTCTATAGGAATGTATCTACGTGTGCTTGCTGGGACCTTACAGCTCCACCATGTTCTTCTGTGAGCAAAATGAACTTTTCAGTTTATCCAGTCAGTTGTTTTATTCTTACTTACCCAAGGTCTTTTTTTTTTTTTCTTCAGTACAGTAGAAATGATATTCTCTCTATACAGGAGATTATTAGCTCCATTAAAACTGTAGACACCAAAGTCTGATCTGCTCTGCCTTATTCACCTTTACCTATCTTTTTTTAATTCCTAATGCTTTCTTCCTAAATCTCACACTACTTTTGAAAACTCAGAGAGGCAGTTACTACATTCAGCAGAGATTGCTGAGGTTGTAGATGACCAATTCTTTAAAAATTTGTTTTGTAAACTGATTCTGAGCCATTTAAAGTTTCTCTATGTCCTGAACTCCTTATGTATTTTTTTAATTCTTACTAACTGACTTTCTAGTTTCAATCTGGGTAAACTGAAAGAGGCCATCTCTCATGAATGGTCTTGGGATACGAATCCCATAAAATAGAGGTTTCTGAATGCCCTTGCCACTATTGTAGTCATTTTAATACAGGAGAGGCCCAGCATGCCGCTTGCAAGAATGCAAGTTGCTGTAGTTCCATCTGGTTGTCACTTGTATGCATAAGTTCGTGCTGACTGGTTAAAAGATGTGGATGATTATTCTGCAATTTTTTCTGCATTCTGAATTTTCTCCCCACTTTGTTCCCTACTCTGCAGTCATCATTCATCGGTCAGTCACTAACTCAGTAGGTGACTAGTTTCGTTACTTGAAAAATCTCCCTCCTTCACTTGCATCAGGGCTGGGAGGTGGCTTTGCTATGTTTCTCTTGCTCTGTATTCCACATCTCTAATGGTTACTCCTTGTTAATAGCTGTGTGGCTTCTCCTGAAGCCCATTTAACTTGCATCAAAACAAATTAATATCTTGCTGGCAAGGATTTGAAATGCGAAAGTGAAGAGCAGTTTAAGCCTTTTCTTTTGGCACAGAGACAAATGACATCACTTGTGCCTTTTGACTGTACTTCTCCATTGTTCCAATCGCTCCCAGCTTTTGGGTTTTTGTCTTTGAACTTTCTTGAACCAGAGTTCACTGTTGTTTTTATTCTTGTCTTAATTTATCCCATTGCTTTCTCAAGAGGTTCTGCTTTTAGCAGTGTCTTCCACACCCCCACAAGTCTTTCCAAGTGTCACAGAAACTCCCTATTCAAATGTTCTACCACTTTTCTGTGTAAAATTCTCTATTTTTAACACACAAAAGAATTTATCTCATACAGTGCATTTCTTCCTTCGCTGAGGATTTCACTAGCACAACAGTACCTAGATCAATTTAATCACTTAATGAAAATATTATGCAGCACTTAAAGACTCCCTTGGGACTAAAAGCCCAAGTGAGGTATTAGTCCTAAAATCTCCAGCTTTCAGGTCATCTTGTGTGTTCCTGGTGATTATGTGTACTCTTAGTAATCTCTCTGGCTCGCTTATTGCAGTCCCAGAACCTGATCTTGGAAGCAAACTGCAGAGCTGAATAAAGGTTATTCTGCAGTGTTTGGCCTAACTACAGAGACTTCAGGAGGGAGGGAGGAGAAAGGTGTATTCAGAGGGTTACTGTGTGTGGATATGTTCACCTTGGAGAATTTTCTGTTTTCAGATCCGTCCCAAGCTTTCTGCTTAGTGAATTGCTTAGTCTGTTCTTCAGTTACCTGCTAGAAAGCCAGTCTGTGCCTGTTCAGTGGCAAAAGAGAAGGCGGCAGTAGAGGTTGTAAATGATGCAAATGTAGTATAAGTTAGCCAAAATCATAACAGATCAGCTGTGGAGGGGCCTAGTAAGGGTAGGTAATTGGGAATCAAGAGGCTGTGGAGTCTCTTTCTCTGGAGATCTTCACACCCGGATGCCACCCTGTGCCACGTGCTTTGGGTATCCCTGCTGGAGCAGGGGGTTGGACTAGATGATCCCTACAGGTCCCTTCCAACCTCAGCCATTCTGTGACTCTGTAAAGTTACAGTGAGCAAGTGCAGCATTTTACCTAGTGGTAGAAATGCTGCACTCATCTGGAGCTCTGAATGTCAGTAAAAATCTGGAAAAGGCTTGAATATGTTTAGTAAAAAGCACATCTTAACAATATATGGTTGTATTCTAAGAGGAGATACTAACATTTTAGAATGAATAGAAAACATAACAGATATGTATGATGCCATATGGATTAAAGGTACAGCTTTTCTCATTTTTTACAATTAGTCTAATTTTTACACCAAGTTCCGATAGCTGTATTGAATCTTTATAATTAGTCACTAAATCATTTCTAGTTTAGGCAAGATAATAAATATTAGAACATTTGAGTAAGTAATTAATGAAAGCTTATTTCAGTGAGATACAAAGTTTTAAGTGATACTGGAGTGTTTGAAGAGACTCCTGTCCCTACATCTTTGTAATCTGCAGGGGCTTTGAATGAAACTAGAAAGCTTTAACACCAATTTTATCCAACACAACTGTCATGTTACATAGAAATTTAGTTAGTATATATAAGCACATATGTAAGTGTATATATATAAGCAACTGCTTATACTGCTTGCTGATGTAACTGCTGGATAAAGGCATCCTTTATTTGAGCTCAAATGCATGCATTTCATGAAGCAGTGCACTTTGATGCAGAAGTAAGCACAGTGGAGGGGGAATTCAGTTGCCTCTAAGCAGTGACTGGTGTCAGTGCTGTCTGCTCATGATCTGTTGTGTTCATTTGGTGTTCAAGCGTTGTTGAGCAGACCTACACCACAGCAGAGTTTGTGAGTCAAGCTATTGACATCAATGAGCCGGTTGGAAATCTTAAGAAGTTACTGGAACCCAGACTGCAGTGCTCCCTGGATGCACATGAAATCTGTCTGCAAGATATCCAGGTAAATTGAATGATTGTGGAAAAATATTTTCAAGGATTTTTTTTTAAGAAGCATTTTACAAATCTAGTCTCTTTCTTCCATTCATGTAACTCCATCTTCACTTGGTATATAAGTTGCAGTTAATTAAGACTATAATTCTGTTAGCTTCCTCATCTTCTACTATTTAATATGTATGTACTAGTTCAGTACAATTAAAACCAGAAGACTTCATGGATCATGTGAGATCAAAGAGCTCTCACATGGATCATGTGAGATCATGGGAGATGCAGGGGAGAGTGGAGGGAGAAACCAAACACAAAAACACCCTTCCATGTAAAAATATCATTGCATTTCAGGAGTATGAAGGCAATGACAACATTATTTAAGTAAAAACTCTTAAGGTAGCTCATATCATTTATTGCTGCTTGAACTTCTCAGAGTCTGTTCTTGCTTTGAATCTCCGAATAAAGAAAGTTTGTGTTTTATAGTTTTCAGGTGTATAGATAGTGTAGCATTGCACAATAAACTTTCCATAATGATGTGTTCTTGGACAGATGAAAACCTAAAAGAAGTGGTGTGCAGTTCCCTGATTGATGTTTAATTTCAGTAAATTTGTGATAATTGATTTAAAGTTTTAAGAGCTGCCATAGTTAAAAGCTTGGTAGCCTTCTGTATTGTACTACTGTGCTTACTGGTCCTTCACAGTTCTCTGGAGAGCCAGAAAAATCAGTGGCGTATTTAGCACAGCATTGACATTTTCCTGATTTGGATAATAGTGAGAAAGATTTAAAGTTCTTAATAGGGAAACTGCCTGATTTGTAGTGAGTTTTGGCGAAGCAAAATCTGGGAAATTACCTTAGTGTTATCATTGTAATTGCTCTCATATTGCATAGCAGTTTATTCTAAATATTCAGAAAGTTAGTAGTATTACAGTAAACTCTCACAACCAATGTAATAGCATTTAACAAAGCAAAAAGGATGGTCCTGGATTTAGGTCCTGGATTTTTCCGAATACATGCTTACTAGAAATAAAAAAAAAAAAAAAGAGAGAGTGATTGAAAGCCAGTTGGGATTATATTAGCATGTGCTGTAAGGATTGAAGCAAGGATGCTGGTTTCCTCACAGTGGAGTTTTTCTTTTACTCCTCCACCCCACCCTTGTCACACTCTTTACAGGCATCATCGTGTGTTAAACAGAAGAACCATTTAAACTGTGTTCGTAAGAAACAACAGGAAGAATACTGCTTTTAAGAGAAGAATATTTATTGAAATGTTAAAAAATGAAAAGAGGATCTTTTTTTTTTTTCTCCCCCACAAAGTAATGATACTTTTGGGCATTTCTATACTAATTGGGCTAGAAACTGTTTCACTGCAAGTGAAATGCTATCTTAATCAGAACAAGATGACAAATATCAAATTCTGATGAAGTTCTTGGTATTGGGTACTATATCTACTTAGTTACAAAATATTTGCACCCTTCTTTAGAAAATTCGTTCTAGACACTAAGTATTTATAAACTTCAAAGGAAAGTAAATATTTCTTGTAACTATGAGACTAATGCATTTTTTTTCTTTTTTTCTTAATTTTTATCAAGTTGGATCCGGACCGCAGCCTCTTCGATCAAGGAGTAAAAACAGATGGAACAGTACAACTCAGTGTGCAAGTAATATCTAGGCAAGGTAAGTAGTTAATTTTGTTTAATTTTGTCTGTTGTACAGGCACAGTAATATTGTGATCAAAATAAATCCTCTGCTCTTTCTAGTAGTAATACTAAGAAAATAACTGAACTGTCACATACATTCAGAATGTCTTTTTCCATTGTATTCCAAGGTAATGTGTAGTAGTAATTTAAATATATATGATTAACTGATGCTGTCTAAAATGTCTTTCCTCTTACAATAACTTCACATAAATTTCACTGTTAAGGAAAAAAAAAAGAGTCAAATTGTGGTAGTTGCCTAAAGTATTAGCCTTTCATTAAGGATGGGTAGTTCTTCACATCAGACCGAGGTTTTAGGCAGGCAAAAGATTTTAACTGTGTGGCAGTCCTGTCTTGGTGAGGAGTGTGAGCTTGTGCACTCGTGAAAACCTGGCTTGAAAGCCTGTACACCCCTACCTGAAAACT